TCATTCCTTATTTGTGGAGTATTTAGTGACGCTGACAGTATCATCAGAGTGTATAACATCGAGTGGAAGGATCATTAGGAAACAGTTTATCAGAAATAAAGCAGAAGCAGATAAAGAATTGGTCGGTCACGGTAGCCCAGCGGTCTAAGGCATGTACTGTCTTCGCTCGCTTGATAACCGGGATTGTGGGTTCGAATCCCACTCAGGTCATGGATGTTTAGTTTGTGTGTGTGCGTTTTTCTGTGTTAGTGTACAGGTAGAGGTCTTGCGACGAGCTGATCACCCGCCCAAGGAGTTCTACCGAATGTGTAAGATCCAGAAAAACCGAAGTGAACGGAGAAGTTCATGGAGGTAGGCCTAGGCCCACTGGGGCTGTAGTGCCAAGAAAAAAAAGGTAAATAATTAGAAATAAAATGTGAGGAAGAGGTCGTGATAGTATCCCGGCATTAGTGTGAAGTGGCTGAGCAGAATCACGATAATCTCTGTCAGGAGAGACGGTAACCCGGCTGAAATTCGAAACGGGCACCTCTGGAATATAAATTGAACGCCATACCATTTGAGCTGACTTGTTCAGTTCCGTCTCACTATTGTCCCAACAATGTCTACATACAGGTCTCCTAAATGAGTTTACCTTCAGGGCTTCCGGCTATATCTGTGTATACTTTTCTTTCCCACGCCTGCCACTTCCCCCAAAATAGGCCATGCATATCCCAGATTCAGTCACTTTTGTCGTTCGATCAATACTGTGTCCATAAGGGCCTTACTTACTTACTCAATGAGCCGAGCCCTTCTTGAGGAGCCGCCAATTCTGCAGCTACTCAAGAATTTCCCACCATTTATGGAATCTGAATGTTCATTACCGAGTTCACAAGAGCCCTCCACTGGTTCTTATCCTGAGCCAGATCAATCTAATCCATACCATCTCATCCCATCTCTCTAAGATCCATTTTAATATTGTCCACCCAACTACGCCTTGGTCTTCCCAGTGGTCTCTTTCCTTCTGGCTTTCTCACCAATATCCCATATGCATATGCATTCCTCTTCTTCCCCATTCTTATCACATGCCTGCCCATCTCATCCTCCTTGACTTGATCATTCTAATTATACTTGGAGAAGAGTACAAGTTATGAAGGCCCTCATATCAATGTTGAAGAAAGCGGACATACATATATGGTCAATGTCGCTGATGATACTGCTCCAAATACTTAGGTTACAAAGCGTCAACTAGGATTAGAAAAGTGGGGGAAGAAATAGTTGTCATCATTTAAAGGAACCAGCCTGGAATAACTGAGGAAAATCATGAAATAGTTCCTGTGGATAACTGGTGCTCCTGTCGGGATTCGAATCGGGTATCTCTCGAACACGGAGGCGGTCGTTTATCTGGTAATACCGTTGAGAATGTCAATACATGCTTAGGAATACCAGGCACATAGCTGTAATATCAGTGATGTAAATGTGCAGACATACCTGGACAGAGGCAGACTGTTCCGTTATCGCTGGGAAAGGCTGCCTTATTAAGTCGCAGCGACTAACTCCATTACACAACTGGCTTCTGGCTTTGCTAGAAGTTTATAGCCGCTTCTTGAGCGCCAGAGAATTAAATTCATCCCAGTTAGTAGAAAGTATGTTTACCTGAAGGAATTCCAGAATAATTGCAGCCAAAATGAGTACCGTTACACTTTCCTCGGCCAGTGAGACTCACCACGCTACCTGTGAATTGTTCTCTACTGAGGCTAAGCACAGTCTGTAGTGAGACTGAGAGAGACAAATGGCAGTCGCGCCTAGATGTCATTATTTGAGGAAATTTAAAAACAACAAATACTTCGATATCGCAATTTTTTTTTCTAGAGCAATGAACCCTTCTTACGAAGAAAACTTGTTTGTAGATCCGGTTTTAATTTAATCAAATGTTTGACTGTTTGTGATTAAAAAAATTCACAGATGTTCAACAGGATGTGGCACACGGAAAGAGCAGGCTTGTATGAAGGGTTCTCGGAACGCTTTTTAGTGTTAAATGTATGTAAAATGATTTTTTTCTCCCTCTATGGCCCTACAGCCCTTTGGAAGTTCGCGTTTTTTTTTTCAGTTTCATAATCCTATACACAGTCGGTAGGAATCCTTGGACGGGACATCAGCCCGTCTTAGGGCCGCTACCTATATATAAACACAGAATAAACGCACACAGACATCCATGCCTCGAGTGGTATTGTAAAACCATGATCTCAGTGTTCGAACGAGCGAAGACAGTTCATGCGTTAGTCCGCGCGGCCACCGTGACCAGCATGTAAAATAATTAATCGTCCAAATTAACGTGCCTATATTCAGATTGGCTGCAGGTTTTATTTTTAAATATAATTACGATTAATATTAAAGTTTAATATTAAATACTATTATAATTATTATTATTATCTTGTGACATGTGACGCTGTGTGATCGTGTAGACGTTTACTGACGTTTCAGAGAAAAGAGCTGACTCAACTTTTAGGGCACAAATGAATCAATACGCTACTCCGAAACGTCCGTAAGCATCTATCAAACTACAACGGTAATACATCCAAGAAGACACTAATCAACATAGTCATCATATTGCGTATATGAAAAGTTACTGTTTGAGAGTTCCATATAAACTCAGCGTCCAAGCTAACAGAGTTACTGAATGGAGTCTGTTTCTCTTGTGCCGTGCTACAGTCCCTTTCATATTCAAAATGTTGATAGAGCTCAAATTCTACAGCGACCCGTATAGTCGCGAGTTGCAAGTAAACTCAAGTAGCAGTTAATACGTCTCTGAAACTGCTGACATACTTCCCATCACGGATATGTTTTCAAACCTGAATACTGACAATAACAATGTCTTGCAGAGTTTTTCGGTCAGCCAAGAAGTACAGCGGAAGAGGTCCCTATCCCCAGCTGAGATGACAAGTCATCTCATAACTACAAGTTATGTAAAAATGAAAAGTAAAGCTATCCGTGTATCAGGCCGTGGAGGCCCATAGGGTTGTGAGACGTCGAGGCTCCAACATTTCCTCTAGATAATCGGGTCACAGATGGCGGTAAGGTTGTCAGCCTTACGCGCCAGGCTCCCTTTAGCCCCCAGGAAGATTCCTGTTACTCATTTGTGTTAGAGGCTGAGTCGACCCCAGGGCCGTAGTGCGGCTGGAAGGATTAAGTCAATTGAAAAATTCAATGACCTCATCGGGAATCGAACCCGTTTCCTTCCGGCTTGCAGCATAGTACCTAAACAAACTACGCATGCACCCAACTGCAAGCTATACAAAACAGTAAATAATAATAATAATAATAATAATAATAATAATAATAATAATAACAATAATGATGTTTAGTTTAGGCCATGAGAGAGGGAATGATGTAAAAACAGAACTAAATGGAATTCAGCAGTTGTCTGGAACTATAAAATATACAGTATTATGGGTAAACAAAGGTAAAGTTTTCCCTGTGCTTGACTAATTAAGCACTACGCCATGAAGGAGTGTGTGTACAGATCCACACTTTCTTAAGCTCGGCACTAGCTCCAGGTGAATACGCTATCATGTAAACAAAAAAAGAAAACTTATTCAAATGCCACGGAGTAAAAACCATGGCTGTGATTTCGTATGGATTCGAATGTTGGACGTTAACGAAAGAATACACGAAAAGAACGGCAACAAAAGAAATGTGTCTTCTAAATTCTGACGCAGAATATAGAATATCATAAATGTAACGACCATATTAGGGAACGTGGGAGTAGCAGCTCAGACAGGCCTATAATAAAATAAATTACCGGAAAAAATGGCTAAAACATTTGGAAAGAATGTCTGAAAATCTGTAGTACCAGCTCGAAGAGAAGTAAAATTGCAGCGGAAGTGACACGCTGTTGCCGTGAAGCGGAAAATATACAAGTGAAATGTTGATATTGCGCACCCGTCCAATTGTGAACTCGTCCACTTTGAATTTCGGAGAATATTGGACACGCAACACGACATAAATAGACGCCCTGTACTTAGTATGCACTATTTTGTTCCAGCAAACCTGCCGTGTGTCACGGTTGGAAAGAAATAATTGGTTAGCGCTTTTGCAAGTCCTGAAAATCAGTGATGTCTGGTGAAGAGTCCTGTTATCCTGACTGATGAATTTCACATTTTTGCCCCAGTTCCTGCAAGAAAACGATGGGATCGTAACTTAAATAGGCCACAATGACTTCCCTCCACATACATTTCAATTCATTTGTGACAACGGCCCCTTCATTTGACGCTCTGTAACTAATGCATTTGAAAGAGCTTCGGTAAATAAATAGAAAACAGTCACTACAGCAGATCATGGACCGCGGATGTGGTTACAAAGCGCCAAGGAAGTGCAATGTGCTTAAGATTTTAAGGGGCAAGGAGGGGATTTACAAACCTTCCGTTACATGTGTTTTGGGCTGGTGCAACGCTGGTTCCTCGCTCGCGAATTTCTTATACCCTGAAGATGGAGGTGATACGTTCCTCCGAAACGTTGGTTAACAAAATATTTACACCGTGCCACATCCCAGAAGACGGTATTTTTCATAGTCACCGCCGTGAAAACTTCAAATCTTACATATACAGGTGGTAGTTCAACAATTTTCCTGTTTCGGCGCTTTCGCAGTCTTATTCAGTATTTTAAATAACAAACTTAGCGTTACAGTAAATGGGTCCTGTTGCTTCTTCAGCGGGAAGCCACAAAATTACTCGTACATGTTATTACCTCTAGTAGTCTGATCGCCTCTCAGAAATGCCAGGGGCGTGTAAGCAAGCAACGGACTGAACGTTGTGGGAAAATGTGGCACTATTAGAGGTGCATTCCTCGGTATAAACTTTTCAGATGTTGAGTTGAAGCCGTTGCAGTCCATTCCAGGGACATGAGTTATAGCGCGACTCCATTGGCAGACCTCGTTTCATTCCTTGCAGTGAATAGCTCTCCTTTCTTTCTGGTTCTGCAAGTCCGGCTCGGGGCCGGTCTACCAGTCGTTGTACGAGCAGTGAACCGCACAGATCCAAGAAGCCGTTCATGGAACGAGTGATGTGTTAACGTCGCCGTAGACATGGGTCCTGGTGTCAATACTTAAGCAAGAATTACTTTAAACAACCGAGTGGTTTTCCTTTAAACTCGACTGGCGGCCAGGGCAGGCCGCATGTAGGGATTTTGTGTACTCAGGTAGAAAGTGTATAAGTATTGTGTACGACGTAGGGGGTGAAGTGTGCGTAGTGTGTAGGATATTTGTAAAACAAAACAAAACTGGATTTGACACTTAAATTCGTCATACTACATGAAGCATGCTGCAGCCTAGGAGAACATTACTACTGTATTTAACAGTAGTGATATTATCCACGTGTGGATTGTTTTTCAACAAGGTAGACTGTGAATCAGGTAATGTGATTTTCTTTTATTAATTTCTTGTTCGTAATTTACAAATCCTGACGATAATTTACCCTGAATATTCTGCTATCCATATTGCTACTTTCAGGCTTACTTATACTTTGTTCGCCAATCACAATGACCGCGCGGTCTAAGGCATGAACTGTCATCGCCCGCTCAAACACTGGGGTCGTGGGTTCGAAACCCACTCGAGGCATGGATGTTTGTCTACGTTTATTCTGTTTGTGTTGTCCTGTGCAGGTAACGGTCTTGCGATGGGCTGATCCCCCGTCCAAGGTGTTCTACCGACTGTCTAAAGATTAAGAAACTGAAGTGAAACGAAGCGTTTCACGGATGCCCTATGCTCCAAGTGGGAGCAACAGGATTATGAGTAACTGGATGAATGAATTAATACTTTGTTCATTGAAATTAATATGGAAGGGGGAGGGGATTCCTTTAGGACATAGGCCGGTAGACACTACTGCTTACAAGTTCCTTGAGTTCTGAGTGAGGTAGTTCTAACTCATTTCACGTTGTTTATAATAAAACCGTTTTAATTTCTAAATCAGAAAACAATCCATATTTATAAGCGAAAATGTGGATCCCAGATATACATATTTCAATGTTAACATGGCTGCGAAATAAATGATCTTTCTCCGGCAAATTGATAATTCCATTCTGTGACTAGGGAATCATATTCAATTAACGTTTAATATACTAAATATCTAGCTCACACATTATATGAAGAGCGTATTAAATTATAGACGAGGTTATAATACTCTATGCAGTGCAAAGACGTAAAACATTTTCACGCTTAAATGCGAGATTAGAAATTCTGGCACCAATAATTATGTATATATTAGTTCAGAGGCGCGTCAACGTCGATGGTTATTCGCGCCTGTGTAACACAACAGAACCCTACAGCGTAAAGCCTTATGCTAATTAAATGAACGAATCTGTATGTGAGGGGGGCATGCGGTAGCGTAATTGGTTGAGGTACTATGCTACAAGCAGGAAGGTCGCGGGTTCGATTCCCGATGAGGTCATTGGATTGTTTTTTTTTTCAATTTACCTAATCCTCCCAGCCCGCATTTTGGCCCTTGGGTCGACTCAGCCTCTAACGGAAATGATTAGCAGGAATCTTCCTGGAGGGTAAAGGGCGGCCGGCGTGTAAGGCTGACAACCTTACCGACATCTGTGAGCCGATTGTCTAGAGAAAATGTTGAAAACTCAACATCTCACTACCCTATGGGCATCCACGGTCTGTTACAGGGATGGCTTTACCTTATCTGTATGTAAGAGTGTTTTAAAATTCTCATTAATTCATTACCTGGCATGGTTTGTCTTTCGGCACACATAAAGGTCCACTCGATGTCAGGGAAGGCGACCTTCATTCACACTACACATGTTCTTCCTTATGTCTGATCCTTAGTTTTGAAAACGAACGATTCTTTATTACAGTAGTGGTTAAACAAATGTGGACACTTTCACGTAATGATACAAATACAGCGAAGTGTATGTATGACCGAAAGAAGCTGATCTGAGGGAGGTCAGCCTCCGGATGTCGGTAAAACATTCCTGAAGATGTGAGTGAGTTCTAACAGAGCGGTAATTTAAATTTTAAAAACGTACGAGTAAATAACACGAAAATAAAAATTAATCGATTAGACACCACGCCGTGAAGAAGTATGAAGCAGTAAAGTTACAGCTCCGTCATGATTAACATCGGTACCAGATGTAGATGGTCAGCTTCACGCTCCTGCAGCTTCATACCGGTAGCCACTGGATAGGAGGCTGGATGGACCCCAGAGCTGGTGTGGAGGTTTACAAAGAAGAGGAAAATCTCTTGCCTCAACGGGGAATCGAACCCCGAATCATCGGTCGTCCAGCCCGTAGCTTAGCCGCTATACCGATTGAGCTATCGTTTAAATCATTATATGTCAACAGTAAAAAAAAAAATGAACCGTGAGTTGCGCATGCGTGTGAATTTTATTTAAGATTCTGGTTTTATGATATAGTTATCTTCTGCACAGACGTAAAAGCTAAGGGAAAAATAGAGCTCCATATAGATACTCAGAATATAACTTGCAGGTTGTACTGCTTGGCAGCAAGCAAGCTGTAATTCAGAGGTTCACCTTGAAACGTAGTTCGCCACAGTCTAAAGGTCCGGGTTCATATCACTAAAAGATGTTTAAATGTAATAAAGGAGTGTACTTATACACAACTACACTTTCGAGTCAAATACAGATGCAAAAATACAGAACAGAGAGGCTGAACGCTTAGGGTTGTCATCATGGAGGCGCATCCTGTCTAGGAACCGGGAGAGGTGAGTCGGTATAGGGATGGACTACGAGCCGGACGGCCCGGGCTCGATTCCCGTCAATTCAAGATTTTTCTTTTCTCCAAAGTGTCCAGACCGGCTCTGGAGCCTACACAGCCTCCTATCTAATGGGTGCCGGGGTCTCTTTCCCCGGGGATAAAGCAGCAGAAGCGTGACGCTGACCACTCACCTCCATCTAGCGATGATGTCAAGGAAATTGGAGCTATATTTCTACACCGCACACGTCTTCATGGCATAGTGCTTAACTATTTAAGCACAGGGACAACTTTACCTTCTTATCCTGTCTAGGCTGCATTCCTGTTGTCTAGTTAAGTGGGCCTATGCGTCACACTCTTTATCGAGCCTCACCATGGCATGGGGCGTCCTTTAATTTCGGACGGTGGACACGATCTGCAGATATGGAGAGTAGGGTAAAGAAAAAGGTAAAGTTGTCTTTGTACTTACTAATTGAGCACTACCCCATGAAGACGTATGGGGGAGTGGATAAAATATTGAATATTCATTGCTTCAATATCATAGTTTCCGACAAGGAACGGGCCTCCAACTTGAGAGTCAGGTAGTTGTTAAAACTCCGCACTGCGAAACACCTGGATGTTATGAAATGTCAATCAGAACCTCGGAACTGGTTTGATTGTTCGGAACATTTGGTTCAGATAGCCACCAGTCACTTGCGAACACAATGAACCTTGGAGTTCCATAAAATATGGGTAATTTCTTGACTGCTGAGTGACTATTAGCTTCTGAAGAACAGATCTGTTCCATAGATAGTGGATTCACTAGTTAGGTCTGAAGGCTACTGAGCGATCGAAGCTTAAACGTTAGGGCGATAAGGTGTTACATAATGATTTAGATGTTGCGCGCTGAAAGGGCTATCTTACTGTAACACAGAATTACTCTAAGACACAACATAGACATAACATATGTGTCTCGCGGATCCCTAAACCTTTCATTTAAGATAGGTTATTTCACCTATGTAAGATTTGAGCTTTTCACAGCGGTGACTATGAAAAATGCCGTCTTCTAGGATGTGGCGCCGCGTAGATCTTGTGTGAACCGTTTCGGAGGAACGTATCGCCTCCATCTTCAGGGTAGAAACATCTACGAGAGAGGAACCAGCATGAGCAGGTGGCTGCACTATGCCATACGTTCCTCCGAAACGTCGGTTCACACATAATATACACGGTGCTACATCCCAGAAGACGGCATTCTTCTTATTTAACCTACCTTCCTTCTTCAAGGAAGGAAGTCACCTTAAGAGATCATCGTGTCGATGTTCTCCGTCTTAACTTCTGAACCAGCTGACCCACAGTCACTAAACTTCGTATGAATATTATACCATTGGAGGTCACCCTAACAGAGAACTTTCTAATTTCTTAAATCAGTAATAACAACATGGCAGACGCATGTACTTGTTAGGTAGGAGGAACATCAACTTAGGGTACTGAAATGGTGTATGGTATTAGATCCCGGAATAAAGAAACATTCAAGTTTCGTAAGGGTATATTTTGTTATTTTTGTTCTGTAAAATATAAAAACATTATACCGACCGTGCAAAAATATTCTTTAGCAATCCATCTGATGCGAGTTACGAATGAACTAGACGTTCAAGGCATACGAGCCTTCGCTTGAAGTTTGGTGCCCTGCTTCCTTCGTGGTTCATTTTATAACGCTACAAGCATCTCAGACTATGTATAGCGTGGAATGGTAGCCTTATTGGTGAACAATAAACCGGAGAGGATCCGCAAGGAAGGGCTAATGGTCTAAATGAGGTACCACTCTGGAATTCGTGCGGACTTAGGGAAACCATTAAAAACCGAAAGCCGATGTCCCAGCCGGGACTCGAATCCGACAACTCCCAAATACAAGTCACTACTACTACTACTACTACTACTACTACTACTACTACTACTACTACTACTACTGCTGCTGCTGCTGCTGCTGCTGCTACAATAAACTCGCTCCGCTAAGTGCAGCAGGCGATGAGTGCAAACAAAATTGTTGTCGCTAAAGCACTAATTGTTCCAGTTTCCTTATAGATGTTACAGATACAGTGAAAGTTAAGGATATATTTGGCCGCGCCATAGCTCAAGTGGTTAGTCGCTGGCTTCCCACCGTGGCGGCCTGGGTTCAATCCTGGGTTTGGTCAAGTGGGATTTGTGGTGGACAAAGTGGCGTTGGGCCAGGTTTTCTCCGAGTACTTCGGTTTCCCCTGCCAATCTTCATTCCGCCAATTGCTCCACAATCACCTTCACCTATCATCTGGGGCTGGTACAATAGGCCAGAAGTGGCCGCAGTACAAGGGACTTAGTCAGGTAGATGAAATAATTATCTAATTTCAGACAAAGATAGCTTATAACCAAACCTAAACTTCGTAACAGCCTACTGTTAAGCGTATATTCAGGATAGTTTAACGTGGCAAAAAAGTATAAAAAAAGGTTACTCGGCGAAGAGAACAAGCCATAAAGCTCCTACATGTTCAATTTTCACCAGGAGAATGGAGATAAAGACGCCGAAAAATTTAGA